TAAAAATGGTTAAAAACAATTTAACAATATTGTTGAAAGTTAATGCAAATTCTAAGGAAATATGTAAGTATCATTTAGAATACATATATCTTGAGAATATTCTAGAATAATATAAAAATAGTATATGTCTAAAAATATTCATAAAATAATCTAGATATTTGTAATATTTAATATTATGTCTAGAATTATCTATAGAAAAATCTAGATATTTATAAGGTTAAATGACTAAGATATTGACATATTGCAACAATCCAATGACCACTAAAATCTACAAATAGGGTGAAATTTACCAGCGTAAATGGAGTGAAAAAAAAAGTGTAGAAAAAATGCAAAAGGTGATAGTTAGAAAAAGAGAACTTAGAGGTAGAGAATAGACAAATAGTAGGTAAATGTGTAATATTGTAATTGTATTTTGTATTAATAAAAATGTTCCACTCTCTTTAACTTTCCTGGTTAAGCCTTAGTTTGTTTTAAGTTCTTAGTGCACTTAAATTAGTTTTAATATATAGTCAGCTCTATTGTTTGAATAATATATGGTCGATTATATCGCATGATTGATATATGATCGACTATGTCATGTGAATGATATATGATCAGCATTGTCGTCTAAGTATTATTATGCACTAAAAATTTATAGAATAAAAGGCTAACTAACAAACAAGAGTTAATGTAAACTAGTAGTATATTTTAGGTCATTTATAGTGTATGAGTTGGGCTACTTGAAATTATTTTACTTTTGGAACATGGCCTTCAATGTTGCGGTGTAGGAGATAGAACATGTTGAGGTGTGTAGAAACTATCAACAACTTCTTTGGTGTTGCCTTCAAGATCAAATTCCAAAGAGCAGCCTGTTAGATATATTGACCAAGATATCAAATTGTGGAGATGTAGATGCGATTGTAGTTGTTTCTGTAAACTTAGTGATAACACAGGCTCAAAAACATTTACGATGTTGCCCTCAAGATTATATTCCAAGGAGGAGGAGCTTTCTTCAACTTGAAAGTTGGATATGTTGATCCTGATATCAGATTATGGAGATATGGATGTGGCTGTAGCTGCTTCTGTAAAACTTCGCAATAACATAGGCTAAAAAATTGAAAGGTGCACCATATTTTATTGCCTCAACTCAAAAAAAATTCAAGTTACATAGTAAGAAATCAAAAGAAAAACAAGCGACATGAAAATACAAATAAAGAAAATTATTTTTAATGAAAAATTAAATAAAAAAGTGTTGAGACGTTGATAAAGAACAGGATAAAAACTTGAGATTGTAATCAAAAAAGAAAATGAACATGAACAGAAAAAGAGAGTGAAAGTGAGAAGCATAGAAAAAGAAACAATAACAAATGAAATCAATATCAATCATTTCATGTGTAAAATAAAACTAAAACTATAATTATTTGGTGATGATTGAAATTTGATTCAGAAACTAAAAAAAAAAAAAATTATCATTGCATATATATACATGATTGTTTCACGTGTAAAATAAAATTATGTAACCTTAAAAATCCATATTACTCGAATCAGTTCTAGGTTTGTTTTCTCCCCGCACATGTTTGCAACCAGAACTTGAGTACATACCAACACAACTCAATGGATGATTATGAGCTAAATCGACAGTCTCTTGCAGATGAGTTATTATCCCTTCTCGTGTGAAACTCCGCTTTCAGTAGGGGAGAAGTGATTTCTCATATATGCTCTTTAGTGTAAACCATAGGTTAGCCAACACTAATTTTCTTATTGCATAACTATTGTTTACGCCACGGTCGTCAAGGAGTCTCCCCTGAAAAAGAGGGATTCCTCGTCTAAAGTCTTCACTTTTAGCTGAACAAAAACTCCAAGTCCTCTCTAAAAATTTAATAATTCCGATCAAGAAGAGCCGGAAATTCAAAAGCCACAGCAAACATCTACTCAAAGTCATTTCTTAATATTTTTGGTATATAAAAATGCCAATAGATTTATGGGTCATATCAGTTCTCTCACTGGTAAAGTAGGGTATGATTAAGCTATTTTCCAACTTTATTTTAGGGTAAATTATAAAATTGGTCACTTACAAACCATCTTCTACGCTTTCCCTGCTTCAAACCATCTCTTGTGAGCCACTCTCGAAACCTCCAACAATTGACAGGAAAATGAGCAATGGAGTTCTTTCCATGGCACCGTTTGACGCCGTCTCTTCTCTTTCGACCTTATTCGAAAACAGAGTACTTACAATCCACCAATCATAACAGCAAACATGTTGGCAATGGCAAGTCCTCCATTGGTGTAATGATGCCTAACCAGATAACCTCACCAGAGAAGAAGAACATAGCAACAAAAGACAACAAAGTAAATCGCCCCCAATCCCATTCCCTTTGCGAATCCCATTTTGTAACCGAGCTTTTGAGCAACCTTCAACGTCGAAGAGTAGGCTTGTAATGCTCTTGACTCGCCAACAAAAGCCATAACAACCCGAAATTAAACCACCGTCTGCGATTAGTAAATACCCAGATGAGAAGGGAAATCCTGGAATAAAATGTTGGAAACTCAAAATTTGCACCTTTTTTAACCTGTTCTACAATATTTTCCCTTGAGATAAAGCTTCTTGGCTTTTAGCAGAGAGCTTGGCTATTGAGGTGGTATGGGTTGCTCCAATCACAACAATGAGAGGAACCACTGCCAGTGTGACCAAAGCCAATTGCCATACTGCTGTAGAACCCACCACAAAACCAGAAGAGAAAACTAACGGTGTGGGGGAAGAAAGGGTTTTGGGAAAGAAAACATATAGAAAAAAAGAGTAAATTGATATTTTATCCCTAAACTATTTTAGATTTACAAAATAAAACTCATGATTAGTAATTTATTTATAGTTCAAGAGTTTAAGTAAAAATTGAACCTTTTTAATAATATACCACATCTTCAAATTAACATAAGTTAACGTTTAAGTGATATCATCTTAATTAAAACAAAACGAAAGTGACTACGAATTATATTTTTTGAATCTAATGACCATACGTTTATAAAACTGAAACAAAAGTGACAAACTCTGTAGTTTTCCCTTTTTTAATGTTGGTTGGATTTTAATTAAACTTAATTAATTCTCATTATCTTTTTAACCATACTTCTTTTAAAATTTAACTCTCATTAGAAAACAACTATAATCAAATATTTAATCCTACAGATTAATTTAAAAAATAACTATAAATCTTACTTTTATTACCAAACACTAAATCTTAAATTTTATTACTTTATTATTATCAGTAATATATTTTATTCAGTTAATAATTAAAAAAATAGAATAAATATAAAATATAATTACAAAATTGGCCACCTAAAATAGAGTTCTTGAGGTTATTAATAAGATTGTTTAATTTTAAATTCATCATAAATTTAATTTTATATTATTTAAAATTTTAGTTTTAATTTAATATTATAAATTAAGAATTGCTCGTCTAGCTTAGTTGGTAGAGCACAAGGCTTTTAACCTTGTGGTCGTGGGATCGAGTCCAACTGAGGGCAATTCATAACGGAGGTCTTTCACGGAAGTTACTCTCAACCTTGCGTTGGGGGCAATCTATTATCCTACCTCCCTCTTACCCCACTACATATGTGAATAGGGTCAGCTAAAATTAATATTATAAATTAAGTTCAATTATTAAAAATAAAGAAAAAATACAAAGCAAAACTAATTCTAATAATGTTTTTAAGAGAAATATAATTATAATTAATACATTATTTCATTTATAAATAATTTTAGGGTAAATTATATAAATAACTATTAATGTTTGAGTTAGTTTTTGTTTTTCCTACTAAAGTTTCAAAAGTAACAAATTAATCACTAACATTATCGATTTGTAATAAAATGACCACTCTCCCGTCAACCCGCTAAATTGATGACGCGAAGCGTTAAAAAAGATTAATATAAAGCTAAAAAGTAAGAGGAAAACCCGAAAAAACGCTCTCAATAATGAAAGGGGAAAATGCTCTTGGCGTACGATAGCCGGCTTATCGGCCGGGGAGGATTCTGTCTTCTTTTCTATTTCTTCGACTGATCTTCTGTATTTTGTTTTGTATTGTTGATTTGACTTGAACTCATGGACCAGAGGAAACTGTTTGAGGTGAATCAAGGGCAAACTCTTGAATTCTTTCTGCCGGAGATTCAAGATGATTTTGTTATTGTGGCAAGTGATTATTGTGTTTTAAAAAAAGTTTGGGAAAATCTAAAGCAACAAAGTAGTTAAGTATGATAAAATGAGTTTATTAGTGTGAACGGTGATCGTAAAAGACGTCGAAGAAGAATGACTATTTTTATGGCAACCAAAAATGGATGAAAAAAAAAATCAGAACTTTAATAAAGAAGATGCTAAGGCGAAATAAGAAATTATTCTCTTAACTTCCATGTCAACACCAAAGTACTACATCATTGGACTGTAAATGGGTTAACAGTTCAATGATAACATTGAAAACGTTTTAAAATTCAGGACTAAAATCGATATAAATACTAAAACTGGGTGACATTTGGGGTATTTTACTCTAAACTTTAAATGTGACTTTTTTTTTTATGATCAGATATACATACCTTAGACCATTTAGCCAAATATGGAAAAATGCGCGAAAAACCTTTGCCAGATTCAATATGCAAAAATGTGTAAAATTATGCCTACAGTGCTATAAGATTAATTTAATTTCAATTCAACAGATACACGATTAAAATAAACATGAATGTTAGATTGCATATGTTTTATTAAAAAATTACAGTATCCGTGGTTCGAAATCTGAATACCCAAATTGTTTGATTTTCTCCCTTATACTGTGAACAATGCTAGTGTCTTACTCATCTAGCACCCACCAGCAACAATGATACACAAAGATTTTATGAACAATTTCCACACTCATAAATCAAATATCCTTTCCTTCGAAACGAACAAGTTGTTCCATCAGCAGCAACTAGAAAATTTGACACAAAATATATGGGAGAAAACAAATGTAGGGTAAATACAAAAAGAACCAATGATTTCACAATGTCCTTCAAAATCACTGGGTTTATGTTTATCAACAATCCCCACGAGGCAAGTCCAAATTCTTTGCCCTTGCACCTCAGTCGTCATCTTTAAATTCCCTGTTCAAAACAAAACATTGAATCCTTCAACAATGGAGATTAGATGCCACTTCTTGTGGTGATTAGATGAACTGAGTCAAATTTCGAGTAATCACAGGGTGATCATATTCAGGGACGTAGTCACCTTGAAATTTTCAAATTCTATTTAAGTTTGGTACTCCCGCTTTTATATATTCTCGTGTTCCATAATGTTACAACTTGCTAAATTTGTTACATGCCACTTCTTATGGTGATTAGATGAATCGGGTCAAATTTCAAGTAATCACAAGGTAATTATATCCAATCCAGAATATAGTCACCCTTAAAATTTTAAATTCTCATATAATTTAAGTATCTCATTTATATTTTTTATTAGTAATCTATTTTCACATTTCTAAAATTTTATAAGTTCCATCCTCTAGTATAAATTCATGTATCCGATACTGAAACATACCTGCGATCAAGATACCGAGGCTGAATCCCACTACCTTGGCAAGTAGTGCATGTTAAGGAACCAACTCCTTCGCAGTTCACGCATTTCGAAACCTCTTTTTCATCCCCGCCAAGCTCTACACTGATCGTGCCATTTCCCATGCAAAATCTACACCTCTCTACATCATCACACACACTTTGAATTACTCAATCAAAACAAAGCTTTCCCATCGGTATATACTGGATTCTTTTAATTACAACAAGGAACAAGTTTTTCCTATACTAGAGAATGATTACTTACGGGCACCGGTTCCATTGCAAGGGAAGCACGGTTGGGTATTTTCTCGGTTAGCCTGCAAAAAAAAAAAAAAAAAAGGATCCCATTCTTTGTTTCTTTTTGTTCCCAGAGTTCAATCCAAAGATTGATAAACAAACAACTTACTGCATTGTCGATCTGATTTTCGTAGAAGATTGGAATGCCGATTCCAACCGCAACGCTGACAAGTCCAACCGACACTGCTACTACCTGAAAACAGCGTCGTCCAGGTTACTTTTATTAAACATAATTATTCAAAAATTTAAAAGGTAATATCAATGTCACTTCGAAAGAGTAGCAATTAAAAGGGTAGAGGAAGAACCGTGTTCTGATCAAATTCAACGGCTCTGATGCATGGATAAGAGGGCGGCGGCCGCTGATTCCTTCCACATTTGAAGGACAAAGACGGAGTGGAGAGTTTGAGCGGAATGCAAAGAAATGGAGAGTGAAGAGGAGAGAGCGAAGGAGTGATTGACATTTTGCCTCAGAATTCAAAAGGGAAAACGAAGAAAGAGTGAAAGTGTAGCGCCGAGAATATAAACGCACGTCTAGCAGTGGCGGATTTAGGATATGCTTCTATTTGTGGGATTGGTATCCAATTCAATGTGAGCCACTAGACAGTTGGAGATTTCGTGTTCTCCACGTGGCGGTCTTCCCTGCCTTCTTCCTGTCGACTGCAAAATATTGAGGCCTTGCTTTTTGGATTGGATTTTATAATAACCCATTGTATGAAAGAAATTATTGAATGGAATAGGTTGATAACGTCATTTGTGATCTTAGCCTATAAAATTTATTTATCTTAAAATAATTATTTATTTTTTATTTATATATAGAAAAGATGTAAATATTCATTTTGAAAAAAAAAATAAGATGAATGGATTTAATTATTTGGGACACGAATAACAAAATGAGTTTAATTTATCTAATAATTTTTATTCTACTCAATGATATTTTTAGGACAATAATCAAAGATTTGTCTGCGTATTAATTCTCTAAATTAATAATAATAATAAATATATTTTTTAGATCAAGTGAATCCGCCTATTAGTACTTCAACTATCATTTTTGTTACGTTTTAATTTTATTTTGGTCATCGTTTTTAAAGTATTAATTGCACTATTGGCGTGACATATTTTAAATTTTGTCAATGAAGATGTGACACTATATTATAGTGACACATCAACATCACTGTTTATTTTTTAACGGTTGATGACCAAAATAAAAAAAAAGTAACATTAAGTATGATTTTGAAAAAGAAAACAGTTGAGTGGTTAAAACAGAACAAAGGTGATAATTATGACACTAGATGTGCAGTTTACCCTATCAATAAAATAGAGCTATAAATATATTAATATTTTAAATAAAAAAAGATATTAGCATTTTAGATTATCTTTGCCGCCATGAAGTTTCATATGTGGTGACGTGTAAAAATTTTCGTCTAATTATGGATTTTGTCCTATTATCTTAAAATATGTGATTAAACTCCTTTATTTTAATATGATATTTATTTTTATAATGTTACTAATAAGTTCGAATGGATCATTACTATCATTAAAGTGATGATATTATTTTTTTAAACAATCTTATGCGTTCACTTAATATGTAAGTTTATAATTTGGATTAAACATGATTGAGATGTTTTTTATATAACCCGACTTAATGATCAATTAACAATTAAAAAAAGGTTAATGTCATCAATTTGATCTATTTTCTAACATTATACAAATAAAGAGAAATAAAATTTATATTGGGAAATTAAATGAGTAATTTCCTATAATCAGATTAGTGAGAATACAAAATAAAACCGGAAAAATAATACCCGAAATTGATAACGGAGTTCGGCCAATTATGCTTACGTCTCCAGACTGCTGCAGATCTTTTACTAAATAGGGAATTTACAGGTGTTTACAAAATACTCACAACTCACAATAAAACTTTCTAGACTCTTTAGTATTGGGAGAAAAAAATGATTTGGGATGATTTTGAAACTAAATGGGTTAGGGTATTTATAGTTGAAGCTTAAGGATTAATCTTGTAAATATCCTAAAATGTAGGGACTAAATTTGCAATTTTCCCATACCAAAAAATTCAACAAAAATTTTCGATGCACCCCTTTTTGACTATCAACAATTTGATGCCCCCTTTTTGACTTTCAACAATCTCCCACTTGAAGACTGATTTTAATTGTCTTCACACCTCGATCAATGCAGCAACATTTCTGGTCTTGTTATTATAGTATGCAAACTTAAGCTGAACTCAACTTCAGTTTGTTCGTAGTCACCGTCTTTGTTAACATGTGTACCGGATTTTGAGCTCCGCTAATCTTTTCAAGTTTCAAAATTCCATCTTCCAAAAGAGACCGGATAAAATGATATCGCAATTATATGTGTTTCGTCATGGAATAAAAAGACGGATTCTTCGCTAGATGGATAACACTTTGACTATCGCAATACAAGACATTATTTTCTTGTTTCTTACCTGACTCTTCCAAGAAACTTTGGAGCCAAACCATCTCCTTGTTGACTTCCATAACAGCGTCATATCTTCTGTAGTTGAGAAACCCAACTCACTGCGGTACCTCCCAGAGTATAGACATACCCTGTAGTGCTTCTTCTGATATCAACATTTCCGGCTAAGTCAGCATCTATATAGTTTGTCAGTATCGTATCTCTACCTTTGAAACAAAGTTCTTTGTTTGTGGTACCTCGCAGATATCAGAGGATCCATTTGACTGCTTCCCAATGTACCTTGACGAATTATTCATGTACCTACTAACAGCTCCCACTGTATGAGCAATATCTAGTCTAGTACAAACCATGGCATACATCCGACTTTCAATTGATGAGGCATACAATACCTTTACCATGTGTGCACGTTCTTCCTCCGTCTTCGGTGACTGTTCTTTGGAGAGTCTAAAATGAACACCTAAAGGTGTACTTACTGGTTTAGCATCTTTCATGTTGATCTTGGAGAGTACTTTGTTGATGTACTCAGCCTGTGATAACATCAAAGTCCCTAACTTTGTGTCTCACTTAATCCTCATCCCAAGAATCTGCTTTGTAGCGCCCAGATCTTTCATTGCAAACTGCTTCGACAATTTTTGCTTCAAGATTATAATCTCTTGCATGTCTGAGCATGCAACGTGCATGTCGTCAATATACAACAATAAAATAATGAAGCTATTATTGAACTTCTTGATGTAGCAACAATGATCTGCTTGGCATATGGTAAAACCACTGCTACCCATGAAGCTATCGAACTTCTTGTACCACTGTCTATGAGCTTGTTTTAAACCATACAAGCTCTTCTTCAACCTGCATACCAGGTATTTCTTGTCTTCCTCTATGAAGTCTTCTGGCTGCCTCATATAGATTTCTTCCTCCAAATCACTATGAAGGAAAATGTCTTTACATCTAACTGCTCAAGATGTAAATTCTCTGCAGCTACAATTTTCAACACCAGTCTGATTGCAGACAGCTTCACGACAGGAGAGAAACTTTCATTGTAGTAAATACCTTATTTTTGCTAAAAACCTTTGACAACCAATCTTACTTTGTAGCGTTTCCTCTCATCGTGCTCTTCTTTGATCCTGTAAACCCACTTGTTATGGAGTGCTTTCTTGCCTGGTGGTAATTCAGCTAATTCCCACGTATAATTTAACATAAGCGAGTCCATCTCATCTTTCATGGAATCTTTTATGGAAGACTCCCACTTGACTGAATCCTCCACCTGCATTGCTTCATTATAGCACTCTGGTTCACCATTGTCAGTCAGCAACAAGTAGTGCAAAGAAGGCGAATAACACTGGATTGGTTTAGGAATTCTGGAGGAGCGTCTCAGTTCTGGTGTGCCTGGTTCTTCTTGAACTATTTCAGGACTGATCTGAACATCATTTCTAGAAATATCCTCAAACTCAGCAAATTCCTTTTTTCAGTTTTGGTATTGGAGCTACTTGATTCTATGGTTGACCTGTCTTTGTATATCATATTCTCATTGAAAATGACATATTTGCTTCTGATGATCTTTCGATTTTCATAGTCCCAAAAACGTTAACCAAACTCATCACCACCATAACCAACAAATACACATTTGTTGGACTTAGCATCAAGTTTACTTCTTTCAGCAAAACTTATGTGTACATAAGAAATACAACCAAACACTCTTAAGTGTGAAAGATTTATTTCTTTTTTGCTCCAAACTTCCTCTGGTATTCCACCATCCAAGGAAATTGAGGGCCCATGATTGATCTGGTAAGCTGCATTGTTGATAGCTATAACCCATAGCAATTTGGGCAAGCCGACATGTATCCTCGTGTTTCTGGCACGTTCATTCAGAGTTATGTTCATACGCTCTTCTACGCCATTGTGTTGCGGTGTCATGGGAACTTTTGTCTCCATCTTGATCCCATTATTTACGTAAAATTCTCTGAATCTATTATTTCTGTACTCTTCTCCATTATCAGACATCAGTCGCTTGACTTTTAAACCAGTCTCATTTTCCACCATGGTCTTTCATTTTCTGAAGGTATCAAATACTTCTGATTTTTTCTTCAGAAAATAAACTCACACATTCCTTGTAGAATCATCGATGAAGGTGACATAATATAGTGAGTCTGCAAGAGATGGAACTAGAGATGGTCCCCATACATCAATATGAACCAACTCTAACTTTTCAGCCTTGGGTGTCTTGTCAATCTTTGTAAGACTAACTTTATTTTGTTTTCCAAAAATGCAATTCTCACATAGTCCGACATCTATACTCTTTAGATCCGACAGCTTCCCTTTTGACAAAAGTGTCTTCATCCTTTTCTCGCTCATATGCCAAGCCCTTTGTCCATAGGTTTGATTTTCCATCAGTATCTGCTACTGCAAGGATATTCTCCAAGTTTGAGGTTACATAGAGAGTACCAGTCTTCTTACCATGAGCAATGACGAGTGTTCATTTGGTAATCTTCCATTCACAACCTGAAAAGGTTGTACAATATCCTTCTCCATCAAGCTATCCAACAGAAATCAAATTTCTTTTGAGGCCATGAATATGTCTCACTCCTTTCAGCTTCCAGGGGGTCTAGTTTGGCAAATTTAATCGGATGTCTCCTTTTCCGATGATATTCAAGGTTTCATCATCAGATAGATGAACCTTCCCAAAATCACACCACTGACATAGTTCTCCATGATTTCTTGGCATGGGATGGAATGGAAAGATACCCCTAAATCCTAGATCCATGATTCAATCAGACTGTTGACGCTTACAATCATGGCATCACCTGTTTCCTCTGTCACATTGGTAGATTCTTGTGCGCCAGTATATTTCTTCGGTGCTCAGCAATCTCTTTTAAAGTGACCCTTATTGTCTCAATTATAACAGTTAAAATATTTCTTTTCCGTTCTTGATTTTCCCCTTCTAGATTTTGATATGCCACAATTTGGATTTCTTTCTGAAGTTCTCCCTCTAGACTTCATATGCAAGGCTGAGGAGCTTGATGCTTCACCCGATTCTCTCCGTCGAATTTCTTC